AGAGGGACCGGGATGCGCACACAGAGAGACCGGGATGTGCACACAGAGGGACCGGGATGCGCACACAGAGGGACTGGGATGCCACACAGAGGGACAGGGATGTGCACACAGAGGGACCGGGATGCGCACACAGAGGGACTGGGATGCCACACAGAGGGACCGGGATGTGCACACAGAGGGACAGAGATGCGCACACAGAGGGACTGGGATGCCACACAGAGGGACCGCGATGCCACACAGAGGGACCGGGATGCGCACACAGAGGGACCGGGATGCCACACAGAGGGACAGGGATGTGCACACAGAGGGACCGGGATGCGCACACAGAGGGACTGGGATGCCACACAGAGGGACCGGGATGTGCACACAGAGGGACAGGGATGTGCACACAGAGGGACCGGGATGCCACACAGAGGGACCGGGATGTGCACACAGAGGGACAGGGATGTGCACACAGAGGGACCGGGATGCCACACAGAGGGACCGGGATGTGCACACAGAGGGACCAGGATGTGCACACAGAGGGACCGGGATGCCACACAGAGGGACACAGATGCGCACACAGAGGGACCGGGATGTGCACACAGAGGGACACAGATGCGCACACAGAGGGACCGGGATGTGCACACAGAGGGACCGGGATGCGCACACAGAGGGACCGGGATGCCACACAGAGGGACACAGATGCGCACACAGAGGGACCGGGATGTGCACACAGAGGGACCGGGATGCGCACACAGAGGGACCGGGATGCCACACAGAGGGACCGGGATGCCACACAGAGGGACCGGGATGCGCACACAGAGGGACCGGGATGCACACACAGAGGGACCGGGACGCGCACACAGAGGGACCGGGATGTGCACACAGAGGGACCGGGATGCACACACAGAGGGACAGGGATGCACACACAGAGGGACCGGGATGTGCACACAGAGGGACCGGGATGCCACACAGAGGGACCGGGATGTGCACACAGAGGGACCAGGATGTGCACACAGAGGGACCGGGATGCGCACACAGAGGGACCGGGATGTGCACACAGAGGGACCGGGATGCGCACACAGAGGGACCGGGATGCCACACAGAGGGACAGGAATGCGCTCACAGAGGGACCGGGATGCGCACACAGAGGGACACAGATGCGCACACAGAGGGACCGGGCTGTGCACACAGAGGGACCGGGATGCGCACACAGAGGGACCGGGATGCGCACACAGAGGGACCGGGATGTGCACACAGAGGGACCGGGATGCGCACACAGAGGGACCGGGATGCCACACAGAGGGACCGGGATGCGCACACAGAGGGACCGGGATGCCACACAGAGGGACCGGGATGCGCACACAGAGGGACCGGGATGCGCACACAGAGGGACCGGGACGCGCACACAGAGGGACAGAGATGCGCACACAGAGGGACAGGGATGCGCACACAGAGGGACAGAGATGCGCACACAGAGGGACAGGGATGCACACACAGAGGGACCGGGATGCCACACAGAGGGACAGGGATGTGCACACAGAGGGACCGGGACGTGCACACAGAGGGACCGGGACGCGCACACAGAGGGACCGGGATGCCACACAGAGGGACCGGGATGCCACACAGAGGGACCGGGATGTGCACACAGAGGGACCGGGATGTGCACACAGAGGGACCGGGACGCGCACATAGGGACCGGGATGTGCACACAGAGGGACCGGGATGCCACACAGAGGGACCGGGATGCGCACACAGAGGGACCGGGATGTGCACACAGAGGGACCGGGATGTGCACACAGAGGGACCGGGATGCCACACAGAGGGACCGGGATGCGCTCACAGAGCGACCGGGATGCCACACAGAGGGACACGGATGTGCACACAGAGGGACCGGGATGTGCACACAGAGGGACAGGGATGTGCACACAGAGGGACCGGGATGCCACACAGAGGGACCGGGATGCGCACACAGAGGGACCGGGATGCGCACACAGAGGGACCGGGATGTGCACACAGAGGGACCAGGATGTGCACACAGAGGGACCGGGACGCGCACATAGGGACCAGGATGTGCACACAGAGGGACCGGGACGCGCACATAGGGACCAGGATGTGCACACAGAGGGACCGGGATGCCACACAGAGGGACCGGGATGCCACACAGAGGGACCGGGATGCGCACACAGAGGGACCGGGATGCGCACACAGAGGGACCGGGATGCACACACAGAGGGACCGGGATGTCACACAGAGGGACCGGGATGTGCACACAGAGGGACCGGGATGCCACACAGAGGGACCGGGATGCACACACAGAGGGACCGGGATGTGCACACAGAGGGACCGGGATGTGCACACAGAGGGACCGGGATGCGCACACAGAGGGACCGGGATGCGCACACAGAGGGACCGGGATGCCACACAGAGGGACCGGGATGCACACACAGAGGGACAGGGATGCCACACAGAGGGACCGGGACGCGCCTGTTCCCTCTGCCGCCTGAGGCCGCCCGCTCTGCCTTAAAATAGAAGCGCGGCTCCCAGGCTCAGAGGCAGCCTGGCCACCACAGCGATGACTCAGGGGCTCGGGAGGAACCGCGATTGTTCTCTCTGAAAGACTGAGGATGAATCACTGCAAGTTCTCGATAAAAAAGAAGGAAAGAGACCAAGAAGGAAAGGGAGAGGGTGTGTTAAAACGGACAAGGGAGGAGGAGTGTGGGCGGCAGGACCCCAGGTCTGGGGATAATTCAGTGGTTTTCGGGAAAAATCCTCTCTCTTGGCTGCTTCTCATCCACGTCAGCGGTGAGTCCGCTTAATGCACAGAGACAGCTCCCCACGGGGTCCAAGGAGCCTTCCTCCTTCCAGCAGCGAGTCCGGGGGCTCTCCAGGCTGCTTGTCTCATCAGAACAACGAGGCCCCCCCCCCCGGGTGCACAGGGGCGCGGGACCCTCACCGAGGCCTCTGGGAAGGTCAGAGAGCCACTGCCTACGCGGTGACGTAACGCACTACAGGGCTCGGGTGGAATATTCTTCTCCCCGGAGAAGGGCCCCGACCACCCAGCTCGGGCTCGGGGGCTGCTGTGGAGGACAGAGGGGGGTGGGAGGGAGGCAGGGGCTACGTCCCAGGAGAAGGGGAAACATAGTAGGTGGTTAGGAGAAACGTGGGCAACATCCTTGAAGAACTTCACATTTTTAATTTGAAGGAAGGAACGTTATGGGTAAAAAAAGGCAAGAGCAAGTGCATGGCAACTTGGATATTATTAACCTGAGCTTGAGGACGGCATCAGCCTGTTGTTTGTTCCTAAAGGGAAGGGGTGAAACACAGTCCCACCCGGTGGCTGTGCTTGTTTCACGTTTATCCGTGACCCGCTGACAGCCAACTCGTTAGTGTGAGCTGGTGTTAGAGTAACCACAGCAGCAACACAAAGAATAAGGGACAGAAAGTCCTGCCTCTTATTGGGCGTCATCGGATGTTTACAGCTGTGAACAGAAGGTAAATCCGGCCCTGGCCTGGTGGCTCAGTGGTTGGAGCGGCATCCTGTACACTACTGGTAGAAGGTTTCGGGTTCAATTCCCCGTGAGGGCACATACCTGGGTTGTGGGTTCAATCCATACCCAGTCAGGGAGGCAATCTCTCTCTCTCTCTCTCTCTCTCTCTCTCTCTCTCTCTCTCTCTCTCTCTCTCTCTCTCCTCTTTCTCTCTCAAAACAAATGCTCAGGTGAGGATTAAACAAACAAAACAACAACAACAAAAAACGTGTTTCATATCTCTTTCTACCAAAAACAATGTGTAGCAGCTACCTATAAAGAGGAGGAACAACTACAGATATTAAAGAAACACATACATCATACATATGAAGTAAAGGGGAAATATAAATATCAAACCGTCTGACATCCTGGCACCAGCAATGCATTGCCTAGCACACCTGTGACCACAAAGTATGTCAATGTCAATGTCACAGGCCAGCCCTCGGCTGCACGCCTCTCCCAGGGCAGTCAGCGGTTCACTCTCTCCTCTGGGCATTTTACTCAAAAATGGGGAGCGAGACCTCAGGAACGGAGGCATCTGCACAAGGACCAATGCCTCCGGAAGCCGGAAGCCGTGGCCGTCCCCTCCCGGGAGCAGAGCTTCTCTCCGGGCGGCTGCCACGGTCCTGCCAGCCCGCCTCCGACGCTGCCCTCCGGGCCACGGGAGCCCCGGAGAGCACCGGCTGGGGGTCGGGAGCTGGTTGGTCTGCCCAGGCAGGGAGCAGTAAGACTATCTTCAAAGTCCTTCTCTCTCCTACCAAGTGAAAGCTTCTATTAATAAGATCACCGCAAGCCCCTCGGCGGACGAGGGTTAATAGAATCCGAGAAATGCCAGCGGAGATCAGGTTCCGTTCCTCCCCAACTTGTTGCAATGAAAAAAGAAACCTCCCTGCTCAGGCGGTACCTGCCAGTTCTTTACCTGTGACCCCAACGGCTCACACACACACACACACACGCACCCCACACACACACATGCCAGGAAGCAGATGTAGTGATAGGCAATGATCGAATTTGCCCTTTTGCTCCCAGTTTCCACCGGTCGGAAATCTCCGGGAAGTTTGTACACGTCAGCTAACCCGCCCGGCTTCTAACTGAAGTTGCCTTTCGCCTTTCTGAGCAGCTGGGACGCAGGTCTCCGCTGGGACTCACTCACCGTCGGTCAAAACGGCCACTCTGCTGACGTGTGAGCCCATTTCCCAAGCCCTGGGCCTGCCCCCTTCAGAGTAATTTCTCCATGAAAAAGCATGCAAGACAGGTACCTCCCCGCCACACACACACACACACACGCGCACACACACACACACACACACGCACACACACACACACACACACCCCTCTCTGCCGTCCCAGAGAAGCCCACTCTGTTGGCTGGAGGAGCTGGAGGCTGCTCTTCCCCAGCTTTCATCAGACTCGGCGCCGCCTCCCCCGTGTTCCTGGGGCCTCGCCGCCCGCGCCCGGCCGCCCGCCCGAGGGCCGCCCGGGAGTCACCTGCCGCTCTTGGTCACGATCATCTCGTTAGTGACTTCCTTGAACCTCTGCCAGAGCGGGGCGTCCTCCAGCGTGACGCGGAGCTGCCTCTCCGTGGGGTCGCCTTTCTCCCGGCCGGCCTGCAGCTCGCTCTCCACCACGTTGAGCAGGCGGGAGACCGTGCCCTCGCCGGCCTTCTGCGCGCCCGGCTCGCCCATGGCCACGGGCCCTCCGAGGGAGACCGTGGGCTCCGGCGCTCCTACCTGCCGCTCCCTCCGCCTCCTCTCCCCGTGGTGAGGACCGGGCAGGGCCGAGGGAAGATGCTGGCCCTCGCCTCAGCCCCACCGAGCATGACACCCTCCGGGTCTCCAAATTACACACCAACCTGTTAAGCTTTAGTTGGGGAGAGGCGGGGGGCGGGGGGAGGGGGAGAAAAGCCCTCTCTTAATCACCCATTGGACCGGGCGGGGGAGAGTCCTCCCTGCCATTGGCTGCTGGCACGGAGGAACCGTTTAAGAAGAGTACTCCATCCAAATTATCCGGCTTTTATCGTGTTGAGCCCGAAGAGGCCTAATCAGCGGGTGGAGGGCCATTTTCCCGTTAATTAAAACCGTTCCAGGCCCGACTGCCAAACCGGGCAATCGTGTTTGTGTATAAACCATGGCATGTGGCCCCATAGGGAGGACAGGCCCGGGAGGACGGCTAACTGAGGCCCACACGGGCCTCCTGACACGTCGAGAACCTGCGTCCCTGGACCACGGCCCCGGCCCGCGCCCCGAGCCTGTATGGAGGCCGAGGGCGCCTTCAGGGAACGTGACCACCGCCCCCGGTCACAGGTCCAAAGGGCCCCTCTCCCAGGGCGTCCCCGAAGGGTCCCCTCACTCCTGGCAGAGCCCACGCACACCCACACTCTGCTCACCTCCCACGGCAGAGCTCTGGGCCTGGTCCCTCCCCCAGGGGCCGCACTGGTGGCCCTAAACCCAGTGAGGCCAGAGGGAGAGAAGCCCTCAGCATCTCCCCAGGGTGTGCTCTGCCCCCAGGAGGGGAGCCAGCGTGGCCACCGGGTGTGGAGCAGCTCTGGGCCAGGAAGCTCTGCCGCCGCGTCTCCTGGACAGCCACGCTCTCGGGAGGTGCCAGCTTCCCAGGAAGATACTAGATGCTTTCCTGTGTCTCCCGGGCCAGGGGCGGTCTGCGGATCCAGGGCTAGGACCCAGGGCTGGGCAGTACTGCCTCCTCCTCCGCCCGAGTGGACCCGGGGGCTGTGGGCTCTTCCCGCTGCAGCAGGAAGTTAAAACAGAAGGAGAATAAAAGCAAAAGGCAAATCAAGTCAGGGCGAGGCCCATACCTAAAGAGCATTTGGTGCCTGCAAGGTGCCCAGGCTGCCTGGGGCGGGTGGAGCAGGCGTGGCTGCACCTCCCGGATTTAACCAGAGAGAAGGTGACAATCAGACAACAAGCCCCAAGGAGGAGACCGGCTCAGGCTGTGGCAGAGGGGAGGTGGGGGCGGGGGCGCCAGGTGGGACGGAGGACGGGGTTGGAGGGAAAGGCTCTCTGCGGGGGAGATGCTGAGACCCACAGGTGCTGGAGGCCAGGGAAGGGGGAGGAGGGCAGGCGGAGGAGCGGTGAGGAGCGAGGCCGGCCACTGAGGGCACGCGGTTAGAGGGGCCGGGAAAGGTCACGAAGGAGCAGCTCAGAGACGCTGAGCTTTGGGGAGAAGCCACGGGCAGCACAGTGTGCGGGAAGTCTGAGCACCTCGGGGCCTGGGCCGTCACTTCCCTCTAAAGGCGGGTGTGGGTGCGTCTGGGTGGGACCAGGGGGTGGGATGTTGTCTTGAGAGTTTGTGTCAGAAACAATTCCCTTGGAGACCCCCAGCCACCAGCCAGGCGGCGGTCCCCCCTGCTGCCTCGGAGAGCAGGAGCCTGAGGTTCAGAAGAGAATTAACAGAATCCTGCGGAAGGGTTTGTCCGCGGAGTCAGAGGTCGCTGACGGAGTGGGCGTGAGGGCCACACGGAACACAGAGGGTTAGGGCAGTCCTGCCCTGGCTGGTGGCCCATCCGTGCACCTAAGGGTCTCAGTTCAATGACCAGTAAGGACATGTACCTGGGTTGTAGGTTCGATCTCTGCTCTAGTTAGGGCACGTTCTGTCTCTCATACATCTGCCTCTCTCTCTTTCCTCTCCCTTCCTCCTTCCCTCTCTCTCTAAAAATCAATGGAAAAATATCCTTGGGTGAGCACTGGGCAGTTTGGCTCAGTGGATAGAGCATCAGCCTGGGGACTGAAGGGCCCCGGGTTTAATTCCAGTCAACAGTACATGCCTGGGCTGCAGGCTCGAACAGTAGGGGGTGTGCAGGAGGCAGCCAATCCATGATTCTCTTTCATCATTGATGTTTCTATCTCCCTCTCCCTTCCTCCCTGAAATCAATTTTAAATATATATATATCCTCAGGTGAGATGTAACAACAACAGAGACACAGCCCTCAGGTAAGAGACATGATTCCTCAGTGAAGTGACCCGTCCCCACGTACCGCCAGCCCCAGTCACATGGGGAAGCCAACCTTGGTCACGCCTGCCCTGCTCATGGGCAGTTCATCACCATCTATGGGCCTCAACCACACCGTCAGGGACCAGACCGTCAGACACCGCACCACCTTCAGGGACTGCACCGTCAGGGACCGTCCAACATTTAAGCCAAACCAAAGCAAATCAAGGAGTTCTGAGGAAACAGTCCACCAGGCAGCAGAAGAGAACTAGAGGAGCCGTAACTACGGTCAGGCCTTTCTGGCGGGCACGTCTGGCAGACTCTGTTCCCGGCCACAGGCCGAGGCCGCGGCTCCCACAGGCCTCCCCGCCATCCACACGGAACCCGCTGTGTGCTCTCTTCCCCCAGAGCAGGAGGGACCGTCTCCTCCTTTAAGGGATCTGCGATCAGGGGAGACCACCTGAAACGACCCCGTTATTAACTAAATAAACCAATTAGGAATCCCGACTGCATCTGGAAAGTCCTTTTTCCATAACCCAGGAGTGACAGACACCCGTCCTCTTCAGAGCCTGCCACCCTCAGGGAGGGATGGCACGGGCTTCTCCACCAGAGGGGCAGAACCTTGGGGGGCATCTACGAATTCTGCCCACCAGAGCACATTGAAAACAAGCTGGAAAACAGGTGAAAAAAGCAGAGGCAGGGGAGAACCAAGATGGCGGCCTAGGTAAGCACCTAAGCTGCCGCCTCGCACAACAATTTCAAAACAACTAAAGTCAGAACAGACATCGTCCAAAACCACAGGAAAGCTGGTGGAGTGGGGAATCTACAACTGGAAAGAAGAAGAGAGGCTCATGGATCGGATTGGGAGCCACAAAGCACTGAGGTAGGGTGATACGTGTACAGAGAGCAAGTGCAGCCGAATGCCTGGCTGGCGGGAGAGGGAAGGAAGTCCCCGATTGCACTGAACCCTTTCTGTACAGAACCTCAACCCCGACTGAAACCCCGTGGACCCAGGCTCATGTGCGTGGAGTCCAGACTGTAGAGAAAAGGCACCCAGAGACTCCGAGACTGAGAGACTGGGGGAGCTGGGAGCCATAGCGGGCAGGGTCTACAGTTGCGCACGAGTGAGTGTGCGCAGAGAGGTCTGACCTCAGATGCTGCCAAGGCCTCTCCATAGCGGAAGGAGTCAGAAGCTCCAGACTACAGAGACCCAACCCAATTCCGGGTGAGCCCCTGGGCATCCACTCTCTCTTGCACAGGGAATCTGAATGGTCAAGCGGAAACTCAGGGGAGCCGAGGAAGGCAGAGGTCAGGCAGAAACTCAGGCGAGCGCACAAGGGGAGGGCTGACCACCCCAAGACACATCATAATTAAAATTCCAAGAGCAAAAGACAAAGAGAGAATATTAAAAGCAGCAAGAGAAAAGCAGGCAGTTACCTATAAAGAAGCACTCATAGGATTGTCAGCTGATTTCTCAATAGAAACCATGCAGGCCAGACAGGAATGGCAAGAAATATTCAAGGTGATGAGAACCTACAGCCAAAATTACTCTACTGGCTGGTGGCCCATCCGCAAAGCTATCACTCAGAATTGAAGGCCAGATAAAGAGCTTCACAAATAAAAAATAAAAAAATAAAAAGCTAAAGGAGTTTGTCACCACCAAACCAGAATTATATGAATTGCTGAAGGGGGTTCTTTAGGAAGAGGAAGAAGATAAAGATAAAAATTATGAACAACAAATATGTAACTATCAACAAGTGAATCTAAAAACCAAGGGAATTAAAAAATCTGATGAACAATATTAACTGGTGAATATAATAGAATCAGAGGTATGGAAGGGGAGTGGACTGACGATTCTCGGGGAAAAGGAGAGTTGGGGGAGGTGCAGGGAGAGACTGAATATAAACTGTGCACCTATGGATGAGGACAATGGGGGGGTGGAGAAAGGGAAGAGGGTGGGTGGGAACCTAGTGGAGGAGAGCAATGGAGGGAAAAAATGAGGAACATTTGTAATAATATGAACAATAAAGATTTATTTAAAAAAAAAAAGGAGAGAGAGAGAGAGAGAGAGAGAGAGAGAGAGAGAGAGAGAGAGAGAAGCAGAGGCAACTATTGTACAAACCCTAACGGATCAAACAAATTGTCCAGGAAAGAAAATATAATCACAGTAGACTAGACCTCAGCTAGAAATGCCATTGTAAAAATGAAAGTATTGATTTAACAAAAGCTCATGATGTTGGGATGATGAGAAAAGGGGACGCTTGTGTGGCAAGGAAAGGGGGTGTTAACCTCATGTCCTCCATGGTAGGAAGAGAGTAAACTAAGTCTAACATTGACAGTCAACCAACGCGGCAGCACACAGACCCTGTGCAGCCGTGTGGAGGAAATGGCCGGTGTGACAGCACAGAGCGGGCAGCGACTCCCCTGGCCGCTGCATGGCTGGCCGGAGCGTCCTCCCACACCAAAGGTCAGCGCTCATCCCAGCTTGTGTGTCTAATCCCATGGGCCCTTTCGGGGGACAACCAATCAATCTCTCTCTCTCTCCCCCTACCTCTCTCTAAAAAATCAATACAATTTTTAAAAACGTTTAAAGAAGGCGAGGACAATAACTGCCTCTGGGGAGAGAAACAGAGGAATACTGGTTTTTTTTTCCTATAAGTTTTTAACCATATGAGTAAATGAGACATTAGTAAGATTTATTCATTTCTATCTAATTTTAATTCAACAACACATACAGACAATTCTCCCATGTTATTAAATAATGCTGTCACTTTACTGTTTGTAAATTATTCCATCTTAGGAATGGGTCATGTTTCATTTACCCAATCTTCCATTCCTGTATATTTACTATTTCTCTGTATTTTACAGTGTTAACAGTTAGATAAAAATTCTGTACAACAGCTGAGACCGGTTTGGCTCAATGAATAGAGCATCAGCTTGGGGACTGAAGGGTTTCGGGTTCGATTCCGGTCAAGGGC